GTCAGACTTGGGTTCATGTATAGGTATATATCAGCTGCGCTTGCTATTGGAAATATTTAGACTAATTAAGTTCACTAGCAAATAAATTAAATGGGGGGGGTGAAGGCATAGAAAGCAACCATGGATACCAGAGACAATGTGGGAGGAGGGTGGGACATGGCACAGGGTGAGGGATAGGGAATCAAGGATGGCAAAAAAAAAAAAAAAACCACAAAGTATACAAGACATAAGCAATGGAAAATTATTTGCTGATAACATGTATATTGATGTGCTTGATTGAGCCAATATACAGTGTATTTTGGATGGAAAATTCATTTGTATGCTGTAATGATGTATAGTGAATTAATGTAAAAAATAAATTTAAAGAAAAAAATTAAATTAAAATTTAAAAAAAGGAAAAGAAAGGATTGTGGTATGACCCATTTTTGTCCTATTCAGACCTTCACTTGATTGGATGTGGACCACCCAAATTAGGAAGGGTGATTTGCATTATTCAGTCTACCAATTTAAATATTAATCTCAGAGCCAGCTCCATTGTGTGCATGTAGAGGGGCACTTCCTCTCTCTCTCTCTCTCTCTCTCTCTCTCTCTTTCTAGAAAACACACACCTCCTGGCAAAAGAGAGTGAGAGAGAGAAAGAAAAACAAAATAAACAATCAGTGTGATGAACCAGATTAATAGACTATGAAGAAAAAACAAATGCTAATCTCAATAGATGCAGTAAAAGCATTTGACAAAATCCAACATCTGTTCATGATAAACAAGCAAACTAGAAATGAAAAGGAACATCTTTAACCTGATGAAGGGCATCTATAAAAACCTTAGCTAACATTATACTTAACAGTGAGAGACTGAAAGCTTTCCCCCAAAGTCAGGAAAAGACAAGGATGTCCACTGGTACTACTTCTATTTGACATTGTTTTAGAGGTTCTAGCTGGTGTAATAAGACAAGAAAAAGAAATCAAAGCATGTGAATTACAAATTAAACAATAAACTTGTTTTCATTCACAAACAACATGATCATCTATGTTGAAAATCCTTAGGAAAAGCTACTGGAACAAATTAATGACTCCAAAAAGATTACAGGATATAAGGTTGTATTAGTTAATGCTCTCCAGAAAAACAAAAGCAATAGGATGCATGTATATAAAGAGATTCATTAAAAGAATTGGCTCAAACAATTATGGAGGCTGACAAGTCCCAAGATCTGCAATTGGCAAACTGAAGACCTAAGAGAGCCTATGTTGTAGCTATTGTCCAAAGGCCAGCACACTTGAGAACAAGAATTAGACATTTTCAGCTCAAGTTCAATGTTTCAGGTGTAGTCTAAAGGCCATCAGACAGGAAGAATTTTTTCTTAGGGAATCATCAGCATTTTTGTCCTATTCAGACCTTCACTTGATTGGATGAAGACCACCCAAATTAAGAAAGGTGACTTGTATTATTCAGTCTACCAATTTAAATATTAATCTCAGAGCCAGCAGGTGGCATGGTGGTTAAGGCATTGGATTCCCATATGGCTGAGCATGGTTTGAGTCCCAGGCCTGGTAGTTTGCTTTCTCTCTTTCTTGCCCTATATTTGCCCTATAGCAAATTTTAAAATAATGATAATAATGATAAATAAAATTCAATAAATAATTCTTTAAAAAATATTAATAGCTTACAAAAACACCTGTATAGACACACCCAAAATCATGTTGGACGAAATATCTGGGTGCCCTGTGGCCTAGTCAAGTTGACACACAGAATTAATAATCAAGGGAGTCAATGTACAAAAATCAACTGTGTTACTATATACTAAAAATAAACATCAGAAATTAATATTGAATAGTATTGACAAAAAACAATACTATTTCCTATAGCATCAAAAATATGAAATACTGGGAACCAGCAGTTAGCATAATGGCTATGTCACTGGATTCCCACGTAGTCGACCGCGGTTCGAGTCCCTGACCCGGTGGCTTAAAACTCATGCTGGGTGCGTATGCGTACGTGCCCAAGATCCCGAGAGAAGAATGGAGGAGAAGGGATTGCAGCATGACCATCCCCCCTGGGGGGTGATTTCTCGCTTTCTGGCTCTATGTCTCTCTCTGTCTGTCTGGCGAGCGCACGTGCCTTATAGTGAAAAACCTCTCAAAAAAATATATATGAAATACTAAGGGTGACTGTGACAAAAATATGCAATACCTTTGCATAAAAAAAAAAATTAAAGCATGCTGAGAAACTGTTAAAGAACTAACAGAATGGAGAGATGGTATTCATCACAACATTCAATGTGTTAAGTGTCATTTCTCTGAAAATTGATCTAATTGATTTGTAGACCCAAGATAACCCCAATTTAAATGTCAGCAAGCATTTTTATAGAAATAAACAAGCTGATTCTAAAATTCAAAAGGAAATAGAAAGGATTAAAATAGCCAGAACAACTTTGAAAAGGATGAAAACTTTGAGTAAAGTTGATGAATTTATCTATCTGACTTATAGTCTTATTTTATAAAGCTACAGTAACCCAATATAGTGTGTATTAGAATCAATATAAACAGATAGGTAAATGGAGTCATTGGAAGAATCCAGAAAGAGACACACATAGATCACCAATTCATTTTTTTTCCTTTTTTTGGAGAGGTTTTTGCTACAGGGTATGTGCGCTCGCTAGAAAGACAGAGAGAGACAAAGAGACAGAAAAAACGAGAAATCACCCCCCAGGGGGGATGACCACGCCACAATCCCTTCTCCTCCATTCTCCTCTCGGGATCTTGGGCATGCATACACACACACCCGGTGTGAGTTTAAGCCGCTGGGTTCGGGACTTGAACCGTGGTCAAATACATGGGAGTACAGTGACATAGCCATTATACTAACTGCTGGTCCCGCCAATTCTTTTTTTAACAAAGGTGCCAGGCAATTCAAGGGAAATGTGGGAAAAGGATAATATTTTCAAGACCTAGTACTAGGAGAAGTGAATATGTAAGCAAACCTCAGACCCTAAACATTACAAAATGTAAATGTAAAACTCCAGACTATAAAACTTCTAGAAGAACATATAAGAGATAATCTTTGTGACCTTGGGTTTGGCAAAGATTTTTTAAACTAGACCCAAAAGGCATGAACTACCAGGAAAAAAAATCAATAAACCAAATTTTATCTAATTAAACGCTTTTGCCTTTCAAAAAACATTATTATAAAATTAGAAAAGCTGAAGACTGGGAGATCATATCTGGAAAACATATACTCTAAAAAAAGACTTGTACCCAGAACTCTTGTAATTCAATAAGAAAATGAGCAACTCAATTTTTCTTTTTTTTTCTTTTCTTTTTTTTTTTAAGAGAGATTTTTTGCTATTAGGGCACATGCACTTGCCAGAGAGACAGAGAGACAAAAAGTGAGAAATCACACCCCACCCCCGGGGGGATGGCCATGCCGCAGTCCCTTCTCCATTCTCCTCTCAGGATTTTGGGCACACATTCACACATGCCCAGCATGAGTTTCAAGCCTCCAGGTCCAGGACTTAAACCACAGTTAGCTTACATGGGAACCAAGCACCTTAACCAACATGCCACCTGCTGGACCCAACAACTCAATTTTTTAAAAAAGATATATAAATATTAGAGCAGATGCTGGCCTCCCAGCCTGGCTCTCCTTGCTCCACTCCGACTCGCTGGGTGGAGAAGCTAGGCCAGACTACCTGGATGCATGCTTCCCAGCTGCCAGTGGCCTACATCTTGGTGCCCAACAGTACCCACCCTGCACCCAGCCATACCATTGAGGTAGTAGCTCCTCCTGGTCCTGTCCCCAGTGGGCAGGCTGCTCTCTGAGAAGCACACCTTCTTAGGCCGAACCATCTCCCTGGGTTCCAGCAGGGTCTTATCCGCCAGCGGGTCCTGCAAGGGGCTCAGGAGTGGGGACAGTTTCCTGTCTGCACCTCGAGGGGTGCGCAGGTCCGGGGGGCTGAGGAAGGTCTTGAAAGGTGCCTGGGCAGAGGTTGCACAGCCTGGGGAGGCATCGTCCTCGCTGGAGAGGGGGGCATGTGAGCACAGTAGGTCCTCCAGGGAGGATGTCTGCAGCTGGGAGGGCATGTCTGGAACACTGGTGAACCTTCCAAAATCTGAAACTGGGGGAGGAAAGGGATGAGAAGTCAGGCTAATACTCCTAAACATCCCTGAGGCATGTGGAGAAGAGTGAAGGAATGTCTGCATGCCTGGTTCTAGACATGGACACACACTGGCTTTCCCCTGGGCTTCAAGCCTTCTTCCTGCCCACCTGTGCAGCCACACACACTGTGGAGTGGCTTTTATGTGCTTTCAGCATGTTACATAAATAGTATCCTATACATTTATCCTGTGAAAAACATTTTTTTAATTTACATTTAATCATTGTGCATCTTTACAGCATACGATATGGTTTTTCTTTTTTAAAACTTTTTTTAAAGAATTATTTTTATTAAATTTTATTTACTTATTTTTATTTGACCAGAAAGGGACAGAGCAAGAAAGAAAGTGAGAAAGCAAGCCGCCAGGTCCAGGACTTGAACCGCTGTCAGCCATGTGGGACTCCAAGCACCCCGCTGTCAGCCATGTGGGACTCCAGCACCCCTGAACACAGGTCACCTGCCAGCCCCTACAATATGGTTTTTCAAAACATGCATGTCATGCATGTCAATCAAATCAAAGACATTACCATATACATTGTTAAACTATATTGGCCTAAGAAGGCCTCCATACTCTTGCTTGAGTTCATCTAATCAAACAACAACCTCACTTGGAAGTCTGATTCCTTAGCAGGTTGCTAAGTTATAGCCAATCACAAAAGCTACACTTCAGTCAATCACAGACAGCACACCTTTTAAACTGTGTTCACGCAGGCAAACATCAAACTGTAACCAATCCAATTACTTCTCTACCTCATTCTCTCACTTCTGTTTTTTGTATGTCACTTTTCCTATCTTGCACATAAATGTTATCCCACCGTGTGGCTATCTGGAGTTCCACTGAAGGCTATCTGGAGTTCCGTGGAAGCCATTCTGGGGGCTGCTTGTTCCAAATTGTTTTTGCTCAATTAAGCTCTGCTAAATTAAATGGTCTGATGTTTTTCTTTTAACAAAATTATTTGCAACAGATAACTTTCTATTATGTCTGTTAAAAGTTTTTATTCTGAGCCTCTTCCTCCGACCTCCCAACTATCCACCCCCTCCTATACAGTCTCAGTACCTACATTTGCCATCCCTGCTATTGTACCTTCCAGTCTTTTCATTTCTACCATCAAGTGCAGACATCCAGTATATATTGAGAAGGGACATATGATATTTGTTTTTCATATGCTGGCTTTCTTCGCTTAGCATTAAGTCTATATTTATCCACTTTGTATCAAACGACAGGTTCTCTCTCTCTCTCTCTCAATTGCTCTCTTTTTTTTTATGGCTGAGTAGTATCCCATAGTGTATATGCACCACATTTTTCAATCCAGTCATCTGCCTTTGGGCATTCAGGTTGGTTCCATATCTTAGTAATTGTGACTCATGTGCAATAAAAAGGGATATGCAAGTGTCTTCCCAACTGAGTGTTTTCCTATCCTTTGGGTAAATATCAAGGAGTGTTATTACTGGGTCATATGGTAGTTCTATCCGTAGGCTTCTGAGGAACGTCCATATTGTTTTCCACAGAGACTATACTAAATTACATTCCCACCAATACTGTAGCATTTTTTTTCTAAATCTATGCACATTGAGTCACCCAGCTTGTTCAGCTGTTTACTGTTTCCTGACATAGGTATGCACTACACACACACACACACACACACACACACACACACACACACCATGATTTCCATCCATGGCCCTGGTGATGAATGTGGAGCTGTTTACACATCTCACTGCACAAGTAATCTATGATCAACCTCCCTAGAGTGAGTCTCCTCATTGGTGCCCATCTGGGCTCAAATGCTTGTGTGTAACTTTGCTCTCCTCCCCTGCCAGCAGCTCCCAATCCCCCGGCCCTCATCAGGACTTGCTGTTCCCAGACCAGGCTGATTATGTCATGTGGCATTTCCCCAATCCGTGATCAGATTTAATCTATTCTTTTATGGATGAGGAAATAATTTTATGTCCTCATGTCATGAGTTTATTCTCCTACCAATAAAGCAAATACGCATTTGAAAAAGTGTTTCTTAAGAGTATATCGAAAAATCACATCTTAAAATGTGTCTATGCAGGAACCAACTAATCTGCTCCAAGAAATGTTTCTCAAGAGGAGGAAAAAAAATGCTCAAAAGAAGGAGTCAGTGCATGTCTTGCTTCGTGTCTGCTCATGTGGGAGGTCTGATCAGCCAAGGGCTCATGGCCTTCCACTCAGATGTTTTGTAATTACAAAAAAAAAATTATATACACACAATATTATATTCATTGAAAAGTTTAATGAAAGAAGGGATATTCTGGGAAATTATATTTAAATGACTCAGTAAGTAGTAGAAAGCTTAAATGAACTCACAAACAAAAAAAATCTAAAAGTTATAAACTAAGTATTTGCCAAAGAGCTGCCAGCTGGGTGGTCTATGGATAAGTTCTTTCAAGTTCCCAAATAATTCATAATTCCCACATCATATAACCGAGTTGGGAGCACTGGAGAAAAAGATGCTAAATTAAGTTAAAATGTTGTAAGAATTCAGAGACCAGCAGATGGCATAGTTATGTCGCTGGACTCCTACATGGCTGACCAGGGTTTGAGCCCCGGACCTGGCAGCTTGAAACTCACATTGGGTACATGTGCATGCATGTCCAAAATCCTGAGAGGAGAATGGAGGAGAAGGAATTGCACCATGGGTGGGAGGTTATTTCTTGCTTTCTGTCTTTCTCTGTCTCTCCAGCAAGCACACACACTCTTTAGCAAAAATCTCTCTAAAAATAATAATAATTCTGTCAGAATTCAAATACCAAATTCTGTAAAGATAACCTTCAGAAAGAAAACCAGAGCCCAGGCTCAGGTGGAAACAGAGTCCATAAGTAATTATACAAAACCCCATTGAAGCAGATATTAGGAACAGGCATGGCAAGAGTTAGAGAGGTACAGGACGTGGCATCTGGGCCTAAGGAGACCCCAGGGATAGACCCTAGGAAGCACCTCCACTGACAGAGAAATTGGGTCTTAAGCTAGGAACAAAATGAGAACTAGAAGGGTTGTTTTCCTACTCTCAGCTGTCTATCTGTCCCCAGACCGGGGCAGATGAGGCATCAGTCACTGCCCACAGCCTGCCAGGGTAGGGTAAGGCTGGGAACCATTTCCCACCTGCATGGAGGAAGTCCCACAGCAAAGATGAGATAGAATTAAGAAGGGTATTCCTATCGATCTCTTTCACAACAACCATTTGTAAAATAAGAAAGATATGTACTGTTAGCCTCCTCTCCAGTGATCACTTGTAAATAACACATTTGTAGACTTAGAAACAAAGAGAATAACTAAAAAAATTAATAGAATAAAAACAGATTAGCGAAGTGGTTGGATATGAGATGGGTATTTACAAATCAACAGCTTTCCTATATATGAACTGAAAATACAGTGGGAAAAGTGTCATCTATAATTGCAACAAATAATACAAAAGGCTCAAGGATGTTATGTTATTAACTTGCTAAATTTACTGTAAATGTGAAAGACATATATGTAAGCAATAGCTGAAGAACCTTAGCTGATGTCAATGTATGAAATTATACTTAGAATATTTAGAAAAATAAATACATAAAACTGTCTTAGGAAAATACACACACACACATACACACACACACACACACTTAGCTCTGCTTTTTGAATCAGTTCTTTTAGAAAAATAATTCCTAAAGAAATAATCCTGGGCCAGCAGGTGGCATGGAGATTAAGACAGTGAGATCCCATATATCCAACTGTGTGGTTTGAGTCCCAGACCCAGTGGCTTGAAAAACATGCCAGGTTTATGTGTATGCATGTGCCCCAAATCCAAGAGAAGAATGCAAGAGAAGGGATTAGGATGTGGTCATTCTCCTGAAGGGTGATTTCTCATTTTCTCTCTCTCTCAAGCGAGAATATGTGCCCTTAGTAAAACTGAAACAAACAAACAAAAAAATGAAGAAAGAAAAGAAAAAAGAAAGACCCCTCGATTAAAAACAAACAAACAAACAAATAAAAACTCAAAAACCTTTTGCAGTATTACCTCAGAACTAAAAAGGATGTCAGTTTCAAACATGACAGTTGGTTTCATTGCAGCTCATCTGATTCTGGAATGTTTCGCAACCATTTTGAAATGTATCTCTAACAGGATAGGAATACCTCATGTCCTGATGATACAGGATGAGTGACCAGGAAAGGTACATGGAAAAGAGTTACCCACAGCAAAGAAATGGTAAAAACAGTCAGATAGGTATGAGCAGCAAGTCCCAAGAGAGCAGTGAGGAGGGCATCTACCTCAACAATCACTGCTTATCAGGAGTTACATCTGGACCCTCATCCCAACACCAGGAAGGGAAACATACCTTACCTTTTATTACCTAAGCTATCGTCAAAAGGCCTAGAAAACATAACAATCTTCCCTCCCGCAGTTACACATATGCACATAGGCATTCACCCAGGTGTTGGCCAGTATCTTACCTCCTACTCAGAACACTAGACTGATATGGGCGAAATTGTCCGTATGTGCTTGCTCATACCTTCAAAGTCCAGAATGGGCATACATATGACTTCTCCCAACCAGGCAATTAAGTTCCCCCCACCTGATGAAAACTACACAGGTGCAACAAAAATCCACAGACACAAACAAAAGAGCCAGCTACGATGACAGACCTCCCTTCCTAAATATTCATGACGAGACCCTACAATAAAAGTAATACCTAACCCCATTTCAAGTGCAGTTGTCACCTGACAACTTGCCCGCCTAAAAGCCTCCTGGGTATACTATTCTATTAAAATCTCTCTCTCTCTCTCTCTCTCTCTTTCTCTCTCTCTTTCTTTTGTTTAAAGAATTATTTATTTCATTTTGTTTATTGGATTGTTTGTTTTAACTGGACCAAATAGAAAGGGAAAGTCAGAAAGCAAGCTACCAGATCTGGGATTCAAACCATGGTTGGCCATGTGGGAGTCCAGCTCCTCAACCACCAAGCCACTTGCTGCCCCTCAAATCTCTTTTTATTAAAACTTCTGTTTTTATACTTTTCTCGTGGTTGTGGCTTTGTTTGCATCTCAGGGAAGGTCTCTGTCCTTAGAGATCTGGACCCAAAGAGCCAATTATTTCTCCACAGTTTTTCCATCCAATAATAGAAAGGTGGTCAGCTCATGGAGCCCAGGACATCTAAGGCCAATATGATGACATACTTCCTCTGATCCTTGCAATAATATGCATCACTCAATAGCAAACCTGGATGAGGGGAACATTTTGTTCCTTGTTTAGGACCCCACTTCTGCATTGGTGGAGATGCTTCCCAGAGTTTGTCCCTGGGAACTCCTTTGGCCCTAAGAAGACTAGGCAGGTGGCCTTGCTTGCCGCTGATGAAGACAGAAGTGGACATTGCTACACTAAGCACAGAGAGAGGGAAGATGTAGACCAGGCACCACCTCCTCCCTGGGGCAGGAGCCCACAGCCTTTTGCAGAGTACATGGCCTATTTCCATGTTTTAAACACACACATCCTTTGACCTGAGGAACACACATTTAGAGGTTTCCTCTGCACAAGGTCACAGAGGTACATATGCTCACACAATGCCATCTGTGGTCACAGAGAACTGAACGGTGCTGCCTGTCTTAAGAGTCTAAGCTACAGAAGCCCAGGGTTAAAGGGCATGAGTAGACGCACCGGAGGATGGAGTGGCTGTGAGTAGATGCTCAGGGGAAAGCCACTGCAGAACAGCATGGCCTGTGTAGGTAAACTGAGAAGATGCACAGGCAATACATGAATATCCATCAGAAGTTCCCAAGAGAAATCCAAGAAGATGCTGCTCATGGCTACTTTTGGGGAGTACAGCCAGGAGGAACAGGCTGAGCTTCAAACACTATGTCCTCCGCAGGATGTACATGTTTACCTGAGCATACATTGTTCAATAAGGAAGACAACAATGTTTTTAAAGCATTCAAGTGGCTTCAAACAGACTCTAAGGGGCTTCTGGCACCAGGTGACCATTGGCATGTAGTTCTTCTGTGTACAGCTTGTTTGTGCAAGAACTTGGTGCAGCAGCCCTGTCCAGGACCCTCCTGTGCATGTCTAGAGCTGAGCTGGCCCCTCCCTGCTGTGCAATGCACCTGGCTCAAAGACCAAGGCCAGTCTGGGCCCACACTGACCTAGGCTTATGCCCTGCCACCGAGGCTTCTCCTGAGACTGGTAGTCGGTAAGATCTGGGCTTGCTGGTGGTGACCCAAAGGCAGAAGGTGTTGGCCACAACTGAGGAGACCAGTCCTGACAAGCCTGATAACCCTTGAGCAAGAGTCTGTGCAGCTGATCTTAAGTCAGTTCTGAACCCTGGGATTCTGGCGCATCTGACATGACCCTGGGGTGAAGGACAATGAAGAAGCACAGTGTACAACGATCCTTGGATGGTGGTTGCTGCTGACCAGACTGAGGACAAGAGCCTTTAGCAGCCAGAACACAATGGCACTGAGAGTGCTCATTAGCCAGCACCAACACTTAGCAGGACATCATAGGTGCCCAACATCAGCAAACAGCCTATAGGGAGCTTGGTGACTGCTGGTCGGCATACAGGCCCTGAGCCTCCTGCTGGCTAGACCCTGAGGATGCTATTTTTTTCAGTCACTTCATTACAGCACTATCTCTTCCCCTCTTGTCCCAGCTCCCTGCAAGGAGTGTCTGTCTATCTGAGCTTCTCTTCAAAGTCTGCCAGGAGACTGAGATGCTGAGATGCCATAAAAGCACTCAAGGTCTGAACAGGGACCCAGTAGGCTCACCAGAGCGCTGGTGGATAGGGGACACCTTTCCTAAGTGCTATGCATGCCCAGTGGGGCACACATTCTGCAGGCAGAGGAGGGCACTCAAAGTGGACTCCAAGAAGTGACCACACCCAATGGATCCCCTTGGGGAACAACCAGTATGACCTCCTAGGCAAGGAACAGGGTGTCCACAGCAGCCAGCTGAGTGACTCAGCAAGGCTGCCCAGTCCCTGACCAAGGACTAGGCAGGCTAGGATGCATTCTCTGTGCCCACCTGGCTGGGCCATATCAGGGGCCACTATGTGCAGTGGGAGGCTGAGCCTGCTGGGACACAGAGGTTTCAGGCAGTGCTGGGCCAGGGGTTCCATCCACTCTCCACCATCCCAACCAAAGACCATGGTCACACCTATCTACCACACACCAATCAGACTTTCTATATATGAAAGGGATTCTTTGACAAAATTCTTTAAAACAGTATCAACCACTTTTTTTTTTTTTTTTTTTTGAGAGAGAGAGATTTTTGCTACAGGGTGAGTGTGCTCACTGGAGACAGACAGACAGAAATCGAGAAATCACCCCCAGAATGGGATGGCCACGACTGCAATCCCTTCTCCTCCCAGGATTTTGGGCAGGCATGCATGCACATGTGTCCAGCATGAGTTTTAAGTTGCCAGGTCCAGGACTTGAACCATAGTCAACTACATGGGAGACCAGCAACATAACCATTATACCATCTGCTGGTCCCAGCACCAACTACTTTTGAGAAAATGACCAAGCCCTATTTTTTCTATAAAAAGTACAGACAGCTGGGGTCAATTTATGTGGCCACCAGACTCTGGCTGATGCTGCTCCAACCACTTACCCTATAAGATGCAGCCTCCTGTTTCAACAACATGGCAGATTCTCCATGACCATTTTTGATTAATACAGACATCAGCCCAAATGGCTCACCTGCCCCATCCACTTTCCAGATGTGGACTTGGAAGGCCCAAAGAGAAGCAGGGCCTCACCTAAACACACACAGCAAAACAGGCTACTAGGTTTTGGTTTACTCAGACCTCAGAGGGCTTCCCGTGACCACCCACCAGGCATTGCTGTCCCATGTTGGCAGCCTCCCCATGACCCATGAGCCTCCATCCTCCAGCCTCACCTCCACCAGCTGGGGAGCAGGCCTCAGGGTAGGCGGGGGCCCTGGGAAAGAACAGGTCCCTGGCCCCACGGCTGCAGCTGTCATGGCAGCTCTCACTGAGCAGCCTCTTCAGCATCTGGTTCTCCTTCAGGAGGCGCACCTGCTTCTTCAGGTCGGCGTTCTCGCTCATGAGCCTGCTCATCAGCTCACTGCCCTCAGCCATGGCACCGTGCTCACGTGTGGGCCCGTGGCCCCATGGAGGTGGACCGAGCCGGCCCCCAGCAGCCACGGCCAAGAGACACACACAGAGCTCCGTGCCACGGCCTTCCGCGGCCTTGTGATGTCGCTGCCCTTAAAGGGGCGCTGCCCTGGCTCACCTCCCCCACCCCTACCCTTCCAGTCTGGCAGTACCTATAAAGACGTGGTGGAGAAGCCAGATACCACAGAGTGCACAGGCAAGTGCCAGGCCACAGAGCCCATGAGATGGGCCCTGAGACATGGATAGGGACAGTCAAGCAGGAGCCAGGGAAGGGCAGGACCCAACACTCAACCAGCACCTCCGGGGTGCAGCTAGACACCTCGCCATGGTGGGGACTCTGTGTTTGCCCAAGTTAACACAGAGTGGGGCAACCCTTCCACAGTGCCACCCACAAGCTGGCAGACCCAGTAGGCTTCAGGACCTGTAGGGCTAACAGAGCAGAGAACAGTCAGTCAGGCCCCAGCTCCTTGGTGGCATCTAGTTATTGGGATTCACCCTTGCAGAAGATAAGGGCAGAGGGGGCATAAGGGGATCCCCTTGATAGCCCCATGGTCCAGAACTCTGGGAGGGCCAGGCAGGGGCTTGAGGTGGGCCACCTACCAACCATACTCCCTCCTAGACAGCAGATTAGTGTCCACACACAGATCACGGCCATTGCCAGCTGGACTGCTTCTGACCAGACCTAACCAAAGACACTGACAACAGCCAAGAACCTCTAGAACACCACACAGACCACCACACTGCTCCCTGGGCCCTGGAGCGTGGTCTCCAACTGCAGTGAATACAACTTCCCTGAAACCTACCCCGACTGCTGCTTTTCTAGCCACTCAGGAAAGTAGGAACTAAACTACATCCTTTATGCACTCTAAAGGTCTTATTTTATTGGCAACAAGAGATAACAGACGGGCTATCTTGGATCCTTATGAGAGGGATGGTTTAGAAAACACAAGGCGGCATGTTTCCATCCTCTCTTGCCCTGATGCCTGCGGCTCCTCCCTCACCGTGCAGACAGTGATCAGGAGGTGATCCAGGTAAGACAGAGTCATGACCAGCCCAGATGGCTGCGCCAGTGTAACGCCACTTCAAGAGCTCAAATCTGGGGTTAGGCTTTGTGGAGAAAGGGAATTTCTAAATGCCATACAATCCTTACACAACTTGAGACCAGCTTAATGGCTGAACCCCCAAGGCTCTCACCTTAGACAAGGGGACTCAGACAAAGCCCTTGAGGACAGGTGTGTGAGGCTCTCAAGACAGGCAGATGAGACAGCAAAGGCAAGTCACAGATGGCCACACACCTGGGCCCTCCAGAAAAGACTGACAGAGGCTTGAACTGCTTTCCCTCCACAAACTCCTGAGCCATATTTAAAATGTCATCCTTTTCCCACCCTAAGAAAAACTTGACATCACAGCGCTTCTGGCTATGGGACTGTCAACATTCTGCCAGTTTTCTGATTATGAAATGCAACCCTTTTAATACCTGCCTGGATTTAATCTTTTGATACTTTACTAAGTATTTTTATGTCCATGAGAGAAATTGATCTGACTCCACTTTTCTAGTAGTGTCTTGTTCTGGGTTGATTAATACTGGCCTTGTAAAATGAGTTGCAAAATATTCCTTGTCACTCTATTTTCTGGATATTTGTGTGAGATTGCTATTTCTTTCTTAAATGCTTGACAGAACTCTCCAGTGAAGCCATCTGAGCCTACATTTCATCTGGGAAAAATGTCTAATTCAGCTACTTAAATAAAAACAAAGATAGTTTCTATTTCTTCTCATTTTTCTAACAATTACTTCTTTCAAGGAATTTGTCCATGTAAGTTGTGGAATATTGGCGTTAAGTAGTCCATGATGTTCCCCAATTGACCCTTCTATGGACAAACAGATCTGCCAAGACAGAAAACCAGAACACGAAGGTGGAAAAGCAGAGTTCGCAAATTCGTTAAGCAAAATATAAGCCAAGAGGCAACTGGGAGCAGGGGGTCCAGAGAAATGGCTGTGAGGAAGCCCGGGTGGCCAGGCCAGTTCAGCAGACCCAGCAAAGCAGGTTAGAAAATAGGTATAACATTGGCAGGATCCACGGTGATGTGCCCTTTTTTATTCCCGTTCGAGGTTGTTTCCTTTTTCACTTGATCAGGTGCCCACTAGGGTCTTTGGCCTGTTTTTGAATCAGGTTATTTGTTTTTGTATTGTTGAGATCCAATAGTTCTATTAGATAATAGTCCTTTATCAAATGTATCTCTTGCAAATATTCTCTCCCTGTCTGTGGCTTGTCTTTTTATACCCTTGACTGTCCTTTGCAATAGAACAGAAATTTTCAACGTTTCTTATTTTTTTTTTTTTTGAGAGGTTTTTGCTATAGGGCATGTGCGTTCTCCAGACAGAGAGACAGAAAGCGAGAAATCACCCCCCGGGGGGATGGTCACGCCGCAATCTCTTCTCCTCCATTCTGCTCTTGGGATCTTGGGCACGCACGCACATGCGCCCGGTGTGAGTTTTAAGCCACCAGGTCCAGGATGCGAACCACGGTTGACTACGTGGGAGTCCAGTGACATAGCCATTACGCTAACTGCTGGTTCCCAGAAATTTTCAATCTTAATGACATCCAACTTGTAGATTTTTTTTTTCATTATTTTGCCTTTGGTGTCATATCTAAGAAGTTATAGCCAAACCTGAGGTCATCTAGATTTTCTAGTATGTTATGTTCTAAAAGTATCACAGTTCTGTTTTCTATTTAGGTCTATGATCCACTTTAATTTTTATGAAGCGTACAGGTCTGCATCTAGATTTGTCTTTTTGTATGTAGATGTCCAGTCTTTCTAGCACCATCTGTTGAAAAGACTACCTATCCTTTCTCCATTGAATACCTTTGCTCCTCCATCAAAGGTCAGTTGACTGTGTTTATACAGGTCTATTTTGGGGATCTTTCTCTTCCATGCCATTGGTCTGTTTGCCCTTTCTCCATTTCTACATGTAGTTCCATAATTTAGTCTTAAGTTCAGGGAGTGATAGTCCTCCACCTTTGACCATCGGTTATTTAGAAATGTCTCATTTAACTTTAAAATATTTGGGGTTTTCCTCAACCCTTTGTCACTGACTTCTCATTTAATTTCATCGTGGCCAGGGACTATACTCTGCATTGTTTAATCCTTTTCAGATTCATGAAACTCATGCTTCAGCATAAGGTTCATTTTAGTGAATGGTCCATGACACTTGCAAAGACTCCATGCTGCACCAGTGTCAGGTGCAATTCTACAGATGCCAATTAGCTCATGTTGGTAGATAATGATGCTCACATCTGTATCCTTATAGATCTATTTTTCAGTTGCCGGGACCAGTGTTGAAATTTCCCACTGTATATTGCAGCATTATTCATGATCGCTAAGACATGGAATCAACCCAAATCTCCATAAACATTTGGGTGAATGGATAGGAAAAGTGTGGCACATATACTCTATTCAGCCATAAAAAAAACTACAAAACCCTGGCATTTGATAGAAAGTGGTCAAAAATAGAGGATCTATTGCTGAGTGAAGCAAGGCAGGATATGAAAGAAAGATATTGTATGTATACACTTAATATATACCGACTATCTGCATTTTATATTAGAGATTAAAATATTGGAGGGTATAAAAGCAGTGAAAATAGTTATGAATGCTGAAAACAGTGTGGGACTGCATGGAAGAAGAGAAGAGTAAAGAGAAGGATAACAAGGGAACAGCGCAGGTGAACAACAGGGAGGCAGAACAGAAGAGAGATTGCCAATTTTCTACTCCTGCACTCCTTTGAATGCTCAGAGATACCTTGAATGATTTAGGAAGGAATGTATAGATCACCAGATGACTAGGAATAACCGCAGAGGCACAAGAAATATGAGCAACCAACAAAATGTCTCTCCTCCAAGGGAAAACATCAATTCTGAATCACCCACAGACAACACAATGGAAATTGTGGACATGTCAGATAAGCAATTAGGAATTTTTGTAGTGACCAAACTAATTGAGATGCAAGAGAAAAGAGACAATGACTTCCAGAAGAAGAAGTCCTTTCATGATTTGAAAGAAATAGATACCTTAAAAAAGAATCAAATGGAATCGTTAGGCGTAAAGAATATGATACAGGAAATTGAAATCTCCCTCGAAAGTATTAAAAGTAGATTAGGTCATGCAGAAAATTGAATCTTGAATGTAGAAGACAAAATCTCTGACCTCAAAAAATGTATCAATGGGACCAGCAGTTAGTATAATGGCTATGTCGCTGGACTCCCACGTAGTCGACCACAGTTCGCGTCCCGGACCCGGTGGCTTAAAACTCACACTGGGCGCGTGTGCGTGCATGCCCAAGATCCCAAGAGGAGAATGGAGGAGAAGGGATTGCGGCGTGACCATCCCCCCGGGGGGTGATTTCTGGCTTTCTGTCTCTATGTCTCTCTCTGTCTGTCTGGCGAGCGCACGCGCCCTATGGCAAAAATCTCTCCAAAAAAAATTAAATAAATAAAAAATAAAAAACTAAAAAACTGAAAAAAAGAAATACACCTTATGGATAAAGATAAACATAGATTTAAAGTGAAGGACTGGAAAAGATATTCCATGCAAATGGAAATTTAAAAAAGGCTGGAGTTGTGATACTGACTTCAGATAAAATAGGCTTCAAGACAAAGGCTATAAGAAGAGACGAAGACAGGTATTATATAATAGTAAATGGGCTAACTCAGCAAGAAGACATCACACACATATACATATCTATGCATCCAACTCAGGAGCACTAAATATGTGAAGGAAAGACTGCTGCCGCCAAAAGGAGAGATAGGGCGCAACACTATAATTGTTGGGGATCTCAACACCCCATTATCTCCTTTAGACAGATCTTCTAGATAAAAAATAGAGAGATATGGGACCTAAATGATACTATAAATCAAATGGGCTTGATAGACATCTATAGAACTTTCCACCCTAAGACCACAAAATATACATTTTTCTCTCCCTGGCACAGAACCTTTTCAAAGATTGAACATGTGATAGGACACAAATCAAGCCTTTACAGATTCAAAGACA